CATTAAATTCCAGTGAAATATATTTATGTTTGTGGTTGTAATGTGACAAAATATGGAAAAGTTCAAGGGGTATGAATACTTTTGCAAACCACTGTATGTATTTGTCAAATAACCTAAATATGACAATAACATAACAAATCTGAAGTCCTGCTCTGGCCTTTGGTTTTGGTGCCAACCTCAAACTTTCAGTGGCCCCTGAACTGATTTTTTCTGTTGCACCACTGGTCCAAGCTGGAAATAATTTACTACAAACCAAAAGCTGCACTGAAATTCAAGAGAATTCAGCTGGAGGACTTTATTTTAAGAATTGTTTAGTTTAAAAGGAAACATGTTTGCTCCCTTAAAAGGGGCATTATTGTCTATTTCTCCAACAGTGTATCAATCTTGAAAATGTTTACTTAGAGAGGTGTAGCCCGATGAGCAGAGTCTGAAATCAGCATGACCGTACGACCATGTCACAAGTGGGGAAATTTGTGTGACCTTACTTAGAAGAACACAAAGAGCATGTTGTTTGCAGTGGAACAGCAGAGATCAGTGTTTGTTAATGGGTCTGTTGCTCAGAAACGTTTCCCACCCAGTCTGAGCTGACATACAAGGAGAGCCTTTAGGGGAAGGAGGTGTGGTATTTTGTTTTACTGAGGTGCTGCTTCAGTTGTGTAGTTGGAGCTGGGACAAGGTACAAGGTCCACCCACCATGCAAGTACGGGCTTGAGGAAATAGGTGTATTTTTCTCCTTTCAGCTTGTGGGATTCTGTTTCTTTAAAAGAAATTATTTGTATTTTACCCTTGATTGAGGCAAACTTGTTTGTATGCAGGTTAAAATGAAGAGTCCGCTCGGGTTTTGTGTTGCTTTGGTCCTTCTAGTGAGCTGCTCAGAACAAACTGAGGTAAATATAAATGTAACCATTTAAATGCGCTCATTGTTGTTTACATCAAATCACATTTTTAAAACTGTTTCATATCCCAGGAAAATCAGCAAGCTCTCTTTTTTCAAGGTAAGAAGATTAGGATTATTTGTTGTTTGTTCTCGGGTATTTGGAAACAAAATGTATCTTATCTCTTGTTGAAACCCCAGGAATAGACTGCACACAGATTAAGACCACATCACCACAAGCAACAAGTGGAATTTATGTCATCAAGCCTGCTGGAGTCAAGAAACCCTTGAAGGTGACCAACCTGAGTTCCTCAAAGAATTGTTTGGCAAAAGAAAAGATCATATTTGGGAGTTAATATCCATATTCTAAAGTTGAACAAATAAGATGAAATGCAATATTCATAAAGAACAGGACAAATTTCTCACTTTTGTTTTCTGGCTGTAACGTGCAGCTGCTGTTCTTAGGAATGTGTATTGTTGAACTGATATTTTTATCATCTTTGTCCCCCCCGCCCTAAGTTAACTGTATGTCTCATGTTTGAGTTGCGTAACCACAAGGCCAACAACATTTTCTAAATAAGCAAAACATTCTGGTATCAGTTTTTTTGTAAACTGATAAATACTGGCTGGGTATGGTACACTTTCAATTCCAATTGTGCTTCTTTTGGTAAAATTCAGACTCTGTAATAAGCAGCATGTCCATAATACATTCACATTATTTTATTTCCCAAATTTCTTTATACTCTTGCTCAGTCTTTGAGGAATGGTCTAATATTAACAAAAGGCTACCATGGTTGTGTGTGTCATCCTACTCAGGTGTACTGTGAGATGCGTCGAGACGGTGGCTGGACTGTGTTTCAGAGACGCAGTGGAGGATCACTGTCCTTCAACAGGAACTGGGAAGCATATAAAAATGGATTTGGAAACGCAACACGTATGTAAACAACTTGTTCATGGCTAAAGACATCTGAAGCATAATAAGTTTAAAAAATAATTTATTTTAATACTGATTTTAAAAAAAAGTTAACCAGACAAATTTATAAATATGAAATGGAACTGAACATGTTATGAGGTCATTCGACTGTTTTGCGATGAATACAACGGAAAGTCAAATGATAGGTGGAGTTGACAGTATGGGTAAACTGCTGGACCAACCCTCAGGTTTAGAGACAAGTTGTAATATTGGGCCTCATGCAAGAACTGTTCGTACGCACAGATTTGTTCTTAAATTGTGCGTACGAGTGATTTAGGA